CATATGTTAATACGATATCCGAAAGATTTATACCTGTTGTTAACTGTATGCTTAATTGTAAATTGGCTTTTACTATTCCTAACACATTGAGAAGTTTTATAAGGAGAGGAAAGGATGATTTGGAACACGTTCAGAGTCAAAATGTGGTTTATAGAATATCCTGTGATGATTGTGATGCCAGTTATGTTGGCCAAACTAAAAGACAATTAAAGACCAGATTGCATGAACATGTTTCTGATATCAATATAAGTTCAAAATCTCCATCAGTGATTTCCAACCATCATATGGTGGAGAATCATAACTTTAAATGGGATAAAGTTGAAATATTGGATATTGAGCCTTCATACAAAAGGTTGATATCAGAAATGGTTCATATTAAAAAACAGAAGCATGGGATTAATAGACAAAATGACACGGAGTCTTTGCCGGATTTGTATTCTGACATTATACATTCACTTTCTCCTTTCTAACATCTTCTGTCTTTTTCCTCCATTTTTCCTTTTTTTTTTTTATCGACAATGTTTTTCTGTTTGACTCGTTGTGTGACATTGTTTAAGTCAGATGCTCGTTACTTTTGCGAATTTGCTTTAATAACCTATTAAATTAAAAAGACTATTTTACTGTACCACAAAATGGACCACATTTTACATTTTTTTCTCGTTGTGTATTATGGGACTTTTAACAGATTTACTAAGGTATATCATATTTTTAATTTTTATATGATTAATATTAATTCTTTTTGTATACGGTTACTTTTCCAGAACTTTCTTATGACTTTGTTAATTCTTGATAAAAATGACTCACAGCGTATTACACCGAAAGAGGAAAGAATTATTTGTTAATTTTAAGAATATTGTAAGATTATGTATTAATTTTTAATTTAGAACGACATTTATATTGTTGTCATTTGTATGATGGCATTGAAAATGACTCAATTGGAGTTGAAACGTTTGTTTCATTTTATTGTATTTTAATTGTTTTTGTATTAAGTTTTCTTATCTGAATTATAATTTTTTATTTGCGTCATTGCCCTTCTTTTATACTACCTGTTGCTTATTACTACAGAGCCTTTTATATTACTTTTAATTTAATATTCATATTTGACGACGTAATATGATTCTCGCGTGATACTTAACGATTGAAGTAATTCTATTTTTCTTTCGATGAGATCTACCTCAAAGATGAGATCCGAAGTCGGAAATTGCTCGTTGTAGACCTCTCCAAGGTTGAAAGTAGTAGTGATAGTGAAAATAGTACTGGTCTTGTCCTGGCTGACGGTGACTATGACCCACTGATCGCCGTTTTGCTCGATCTCCACTTCGATCGGCGTAATCTGCAGGTAGATGTTGACGAATTCGCTCTTGCCAAGATTCTTCATGTAATCCTCGAAGTTTTCGCTCTTGCCAAGATTCTTAATGTAATCCTCGAAGTTTTCGCTCGACACGTATCGGTACTTGCCAACTATCTGCACCATGATGATCGTGATGATAGCTTGTCGCGCGCACAAGTCAGGATCTCAATCGCCGAAGAAAGACAAACAGCGCGCCGAGTCGCACCAGCTTTTATAATGACATCCGGGAGGGGATTTCATTAAGGGATCTCGTCGGTCCCGCGAGAGAGAGAAAGAGTGAGAGAGAGAGAGAGAGAATCATCGGTCAATCTACGATGATTCCAGACAAAGTATTCGGATTATCGTCGACGGGCTGACAGAGACAGTGATGCGAATTCCGCGCCGCTTGCAGCACGCGATCAGCGCCACCGATCGGCGGCCTGGCGCAACCGGTAGCAACACAAGCATGAGCCCGTGTCCGTGTGACTTGGTTAGTTAGAAGCGTGCCGACTATTATCGCTCTGTCCTTTTTGCACTACGTTCTTATTGCTTCCCTTGTCGGCGCACTGAGACTCGTCGGTCCCGCGAGAGAGAGAAAGAGTGAGAGAGAGAGAATCACCGGTCAATCTACGATGATTCCAGATAAAGTATTCGGATTATTGTCGACGGGCTGATAGAGACCGGTCTGTCCTGTCGTTCCATCATCGTTGTTAATGTACCCTTCACATATGATGGTGGGTGTACACGAGGGACGGAAGAGAGCTGCATTTATTTGCATCTGTATGTACTGGTCTGCTCGCGGCTTACATCCTGCAGTGTGACTCAGTGAATTTTAATGTCTTTCTTCATGTCTTAGAAGCATACCGGCACAGAATCAATTTTGTCGTTTATCTTGCGGCAAACTTTTTATATATCCTTTATTTTTGAACTCTAATACTTTATATAATCACTGATCAACTCTTACTGTAAAGAAATTATTATATTATTTTTATAAAAATATGAGTTGGACGTACATTTTTACCATATATCTTTCGTTTTAATTAAAAAAAAGATTAGAAAAAAAGAAATACGATTATCATTCAATCGTGTCTTTGTTTCGTTGATATTACTGTCTAGAACATGTATTGAATTGATAAAGTAATCGCTAAAAGTACACTCACTCAAATTCCAAGAAATCTAAATATCATGTATGAGAGTGTCAAGTAAATTGATACTAGATATAAAGTGTGAGGTGTTTACATTGTAAAAAGAAAGTAATCAGTATTTGCGATCGTTATTATTATTTGTAAAATGTATCAACATGTTTCATTGAATTAGACTAATTCAGAGGAATAGAGCAGTTGCAATTTATTTGGACTGCGTTCTGATAATTATTACCAGCGCTGAAAATCTGTAATATATTATGCTACTGAAAAAAATGACATAGTAACAGCATTATTTTAATGGAAAATAATTTTATTAAATCACAATAACACTATTAATGATACAAATACGTCTTGTTTTAATAAAATTTTATTTGTTTTATTAATAGGCAGTCACTTGGTCTCATATTTTCAAATTGCTATTTATCTGAAGAGAGCACTATGTTGGGAAATATGTAATAATTTATATAATTAATTTATATCTAATTTTTACATCTTACGTTCTACATTATATTAGGTGTTGGAATTAATTCGTAGCGTTTTTTAAGTGATGGGAAGTACTTTCATTAATGTATTTTTTAATGCTCATGTGAAATAAATAACATTCTTTCATTAAAAAACGCTACGAATTAATTCCAACACCTAATAATATATTTATATTTTTTATTCTAATTTTAATCATAAACCATTGACTCTTATACGCCCCTTAATTTTTTCATTGTTTCATCAATAGTGTTATAAATTAAAATTATTTTCAGTTAAAACAATATTTATTATTTACAGGTTCTTAAGATACTTATTAGTAGACTGAATATTTATGCAAAATACTTAACTGAATATTAACCATTGGACTGTTTCAGCAGTCGATTGTTAAAGAGTCATTAAAAAGTAAAAAGATTGAGATTACCATCTGTAAATATGCAATTAATGCAAAATATTCAGTTAAATTATTTCAAAATTGAAATAACTGTAAAATTTCGCATTTAGTATTATTAAGCACAAAGATTGATTTGATGCTTTGATTGAAATAGGATTTCTATTAAAATATAAATGCTATTGATATAACATAATTTTTTTCAGTGTATATTTTTAGTACTGAAAGTGAATATCGTAACCTTAATTTTAAATGTGTCTTTCCCAATTATTAATAATCCTCTAAACTTTAATATGCGTGCATAATAAATCTTTTATTATAAACGTGCAAACGATATTTCCGCCATTTATCATGCAGGGGACAAAATTAAACGAACAGATAATATATCGCAGATGATTCTCGTATGGATCGGCTATAATTTGAATAATAATACTTGAGATACAGATTACGCTGATCATGTTAGATACAAAAAACAAGTCACATATGTCCAAACGTTAAGTCGCATCAATCTGTCACCTGTTCGTTAACATTCTTTTTATGAGGGAGGATGATGGAAGTTCCTCCGATACATCGACGATCTCGCGCGCGGAAACTATACGCCGATCAAAAATGCCTTTATCGTCGTATTGGCGTTTACAAAAATGTTTATCTAAATTTATCCGATAGATAAATAATCGAGACATAATGTGTACATACGTACTTATATCTCGACCGTAGATTAAAAGAACGATTTCAGCGAGCGCTCTGCGTTTTGATCGGTAGACGGAATGGTCAATATTCATCTCTCCATTAGTCATCTCTCGTTAATAATCATTGTCATAAGAGACATTATTGTTTTCGTTTATTAAAGGAAAATGCGTCAGCCTCGTCTTTGAATGAAATTGATAGAAAAAACTTATTTCTACATTGTCGCGTAGAACGTTTTAAAACTCTCCACCCTAATTTTGATAATTTTTCGACCAAAATGAACGTCGATTTATGATATTTCTTTTGGCCATAAAAACAGAATGTAAATTTTTGACTTCCTTAATGAAAGACTATGAATAAAAAAAAATTAAGTTTTTTTTCGTGTAAGTATCTAGAAAACGATTTCTTTTCACACTCAAGATCAGACTACAATTAAAAATTGTCGATTATAAAACATAAAATTAAAAAAAAGTCTATTCTAAAATATTTTATATTCTAGAATGAGAAAAAATATTTTCTACATATTCTATATATTTGTTACATATTTTGTCTAGAAAAAAGAATTATTTTTATCAACACGATAAATATTCAAGAGAAGTTGCCTCAAGAGCGAAGAAATATTCAGTAATTTCTTTCCAAGTTCGAGATCCAACCAAAGAATTGACGGTTCTACAATAAAATATAAAATATTGATGCATTTTAGAGAATACTTTATTCTAGAAAAAGAAAAAAAAATGTTTCCTATATTTATATATTTTATCAAAGAAAAAGAAAAACAATTATTTTGATCAATGCGATAAATATTCCAAGAGAAGTAGCCTCAAGAGCGAAGAGGAGCGACACAACTTAGATTTTATTCGCTCCTTTACAGCTTTCTTTACTCCAATATCTTTTTTCGCGTTCGATGAGAGTTTAACTCCGATCGACGAAATACTGTTATTTAATATCTGCCGGCGACCGATAGGCTTATTGCGCTACGTGTGAGAATATTTGATCTTTGATGCATCAGTCGTTATATAAATAAAGAGGCATTACAAGTAAGCACTTGTCCGCAAGCTCTTTGCTTCAAAGGCAAGGAGGAAAGCAGACTCGCAAAGCCGGGGAGAGAAAGGGGATCTCCGTCTCCGGATCGCGCGGATCGACTATCTCGCCGGTCCCGCCGTTCCGAAACAAGTACAGCCGCATGAATTGACAGCTAATTGCCGATGATGAGCACACATCAAAGACTTCGACGATGCGATACGAGGACGCGCTGCTCTGGCGCGTTGGGTCCCGTCACGTGACGTCCCGTCGTCTCATGCGGGATGAATGAGCTTGTTCCCAAACGTACGATTCTTTACGTTGCGGGACGCTCAATTGAATTTATTGTACCTATGTATATATATTGTCCCATTTGCCGGTTTGGTTTACGAATAATCGCGCGATTGATGGTAGACGACGCTCCCTCGTTCAAGTTCGACGATTTTCTCCTCATCCTTTTCCGTCTCAATGTTGCTAAATAGGACGAATTGTAGTTATTGATGATTTGCACGGGATATCAAATATGCGATCGATAAAAATTTCATTAATTAAAAATACTGATGTAACAATTTATACTATTTAAAAAAATCAAATTAAAGACGAAATTTGTGAATTTATTTTGAGGAAAGGAATAAATAGAAACACTATTCTTCGTTAAATGTTATTTATTATTATATTTAAATAATATTAAGTATAATGGCTCTAAAAATAAATTCTAATAATGATAGATTAAAAGTCACCAATAAGAGTCAGCGCGGATTATAGGTGTGCAGATAAATTTTTTTATTTTTTTTTATATAAATTTTTTATTATATTAGGTGTTGGAATTAATTCGTAGCGTTTTTTAATGAAAGAATGTTATTTATTTCACATGAGCATTAAAAAATACATTAATGAAAGTACTTCCCATCACTTGTAAAACGCTACGAATTAATTCCAACACCTAATATATTTTTTTTGGAATGAACTATTATAATTCATGGTATGCAAACGTTTCGTCCAAAAGTTCAAATGTAAATAAATGCATTCGTTTACACTTGAATCTTCGAACGATATAATCACTAATAATTAATATATCGATCCTATTATTGAATTGTTATTTATTTCTGGTCTTTCAATAAATTGACCATTTATATGATTTATAACATTCCAAGGACATAATATTGGACATATATAATAGTGCTTCTGGTAAATTCAATTATTACATCACAAAAAAAATAAATTGAAAGTGAAAAAAAATTAAAAATAAATAAAAAAATAAATTAATAAATCGAAATAAATTGAAGTGCAAGTAACACAAACAGACTACATATTGAAAATCAGGAGACAAGGAAAAACAGGAATTTCAAGTGATTATCTATCATTACCTACAATTAGAGCCTCAAAATCTATAAAATAATAAAAAGTCTATCTTTTATTGTTGCACTCTAAACCGTGCAACAAATTGGAGTGAAACAAACATAAATTTAAGTAACATCAGATTCTGAACGTTTGAAGAACAACAAAGACACAAATAATATGTGTAATCATATCTTTTTTCTTAAAAAATACGTAAGAATCGACGAGATAAGATTCGCACTTGATCATATTATCTATATCTGACAACTTACGGTATAAGATATCGCTAATATCCATTATTACATAATATCCACTAGTATTATACAGGATAACGATTCAATAAACGCGATTCAGGCTTTATTACTTTTATACAAAATTTTATAGGGAAAGCAATACGTCTTATGTATTGAATCTGTGCAAAAATTTGTGCCCGATTTATTATTCAAAGTTCAAATAGCTGCAATTTTGTTAAAAATAAAATTAATATGTAATTTTAATGTTTTAAAAAAAAAGGGTTGAAATCTCTATGTTCGAATGGTTACTATATTTTTTTAGTTTATGTGAGTTTTGTCATTTTTACATATAGAAAACTACTGAAGAAAATGAAAAATTTTCTTTTCATTTTGTAGATCCGTAACGTACCCAAAAAAATTTGAGAAAATTTTCGACTTTCGCTTGAAGCTTTCCAAAATTATTTTTTAAAAATGTTCCTACGATTTTTTGTTACTTGAATTGTTGCAAATTAAATAAAATGAATATTTTGACTTTGATTGCTCATAACTATTCTCATAAGTGTTCTTTGTCCGAATAAATTCTGAAATTTTGAGAAAAAACGGGTTTTTTTCCGGTTTCTTCCTTACCATATTTTTCTACGACTTTTTTCTTTTAAGATAATTTTATTTTTATTGTTTTTTATGTCAATAATTTCATTTATGTCATTAAATTGCTAATTTCTTTTACTTTTAAAAATTCTAAGAAATAAAGTTAGCAGAACCAAATCAGCAGAATCAAATCGGACCTATCGGAATTTTTAGTACTCATTTTGTACTAAATTGTATTATGTGTTGGAATTAATTCGTAGCGTTTTACAAGTGATGGGAAGTACTTTCATTAATGTATTTTTTAATGCTCATGTGAAATAAATAACATTCTTTCATTAAAAACGCTACGAATTAATTCCAACACCTAATACTATTAATAATGATGTACTATTAATAATACTATTAATAATGATAATTTTGTACCGTGTGCCATTTCGAAAAAAATCATGACGTTGCTGGCTTAATATTAAGCTGGCAAGACTAATTCGAAACAAAAAAAAAAAAAAATAATATCAGAAATCAATACGATTGAATTTGCACTATTTTGTACTGCTAAAATTCTGTATTATGTGTCATTTCTAAGAAAACAATGACGACGATAGTTAAATATTTAAGCTGTTCATGTTATTTGGCTGCAGCATAAAATAGACGCGAGAATTTGTCCTACAGCCAATCAGTACACCCGAAAAACCTGTCATATAATGCTAAACGGAGAAAAATCTTCCATTTATTTGTAAAAAATAATTTTAAATAATTTAAAGCAACATTCTATCATTATATTCAAATATAGGCGAAAAAGAACCCAAAATTTTAAAATTTTTTTTTTGAAAAATTTAATTTTTTTCCTCATCATTTCATTTTTCCGAAAAATTAAGAACACTATAAGAGAGTATTTTTTTATTTTTTCTGTATTTTTTCGGGAAAAACCGGGAAAATACAAGACTTTTCCTCGATTTTATTTTTCCAAAAAATTAAGAATACTTTAAAAGAGCATTTTTTAAATTTTTCCGTATTTTTCAGAAAAAACTGGAAAAAACCCAGGTTTTTTCCTCGATTTTATTTTTCTGGAAAATTAAGAACTTTACTCATAACTCTATCAAAACCATCATAATTTAAAAAAATAGTTTCTTAAATTCTTTCATCAGATAGAATAAGATAGAATAGATTTTATTTTATTTTTAACAAAAATAGCAGCTGTTTGAAGTTGGAATAATAAATCGGGCACAAACTTTTGCACTCATTCAATATTAGTTTTATTTATTCCAATGTGCAAAAAATTAATTATATTATATGAATCGACATGCTTTGGTATTCAATGGATTACAAGACTGCATTACAGTATCTCGATAATCGTCCTAAAAACTAAAAGATTATATTAAAATTACTTTCATGAGCTATGCCGGCATTCAAATCTTTTATGATCAAATTGTGTAATGATCAGAGATGGAACGTTTCGTAATAAATCACGACTTATAAAACCCGATATTTAGAATGAATACGGAAAGCATAATGAAAAAATTTCATAGCACAATCATATCTTCTTGAATGTTTTAATGTTTTAATTTCTGGAACAATCGATATATGTATATGTATTATAGGTTTTTAGATCACTCACAACATAATATAAATACCTCAATTTTAGTAAGATTATTTAATTGACTTATACAACTGAATTTAATTAGAACGTAACGTCAAATTAACATTTTCGAATTAAAAAATCGATGAAATTGAAAATAAAAATTTGTAAATATTATATCTGTGTCGTAATTAAACGATAACATTTTAATGTATTTTAGCTAATATATAATACTACATAACTTTCTTAGAATTTAACAGGATTTGATCAAGAAATTTAAAGGTACATATAAAAAATTGTAAATAATAAATAAGGATCTCTCTCCAAATTCATCGAAATGTTCTCTAAGCATCGATTACAAATTTATCAAAAATTTGTTATTAAAATTAACATTGAAGATTTTTAAGCACATTTTATATCAGGTATCTTCATAGTCTATTTATTTTTGGAGCACCTATTAATATTCAGTATATTAATTTTCTTAAATTTATGCAATCGGAAATACAATGATTTTTGTAATTGAAAAACTCAGCGATGTAAATAACACAAGTTTATTCTAAGTAAATTTTTTTTAATTTACTTTAATTTTAAGAATTAGTTTAAGAATTAGTATAATCTTAAGTTGTAATTTAAACTCTCTCTCTCTCTCTCTCTAATTGTGAAATTGCTTAGTAAATACTTAGAAGTTATGAAAAAATTATATCAATTTTTATCGAAAAAACAATGTTCCTATTATAAAATACTTCAAAAATCTATAATTAGATAAACGTGAGGAACACATTTCACGTAATACTATATTTATAAATTAAAAATAAATATTCTCACATGCTAAGTCTAGCAATGCAAAAAGGAGCTTAGATAACTGATTACTTATTTATTTACACTATTTAGACATCCTCTTGTAGATTGAGCAAGCCTAAATAATTGGGAACACTGTTACCGTTAAGTACAAGGCATTTCTATGTACGTGTGTGTCCACTTATAATTTACATAAACAAAACAATAATGGAATAAAAGCGCCGATGGCTACAAAAACAGGTAACATTACAGACGAATCGTCTATCAAGTACGGATCAGGTGTCCTGGGCCCGCTCGTGTGTCTACTACGCATAGTAGTTTCTTCCTCCTCTTCTTGCATACCGTGATAATCCTCTGGATCAGGCGGTATCGGTCCCAATTGTGGTACATCTAAAAAATATAATACTCACATGAATATTTTTGTTGCAAACAAGTTCTTTAACAAAAGAAAATATACGAACCATCCAAAACACCTTTCACAACAGCTATAGCATTTATTTTTGGATTGTCTCTATAACCCTGTAAAATTACAAAATTGATGTATTCTAATAAATATATATTCAACAAGAGACAGTAACACAGCGATCATTTCATTTTAACGTTGATTGCAATCATTTGAATTATATCAAAAATTATACAATCTATACAATCTTCATATATACTATGAAGAATTGGTTCTAAATTGTAATAATAATTGTAATACAGTCTCTAATTCATTGCATTTCACTGTACCATCTGTGCCTCTTGAAAACCAAGCAAATGTAAAGAAATATATTAATGTATAGAATGTAGTATACAGTAAAAATATATTAATCAATTACCTTTATAAATTCTACTCTTATCTTCCCTGCAAGAATGTCTGATTCTTCATCATTGTATATCAACTTTCCACCCTGTACCCTAAACGGTACATATTCGTCATGTGCAACACCTCGACCAACCCTCTCAAAGATGTCTAAATCGGTGACCACAGTATGATCGCCATTCAGCACCACGTCAAAGACCTAAAATGAAATAAATTATATATTTGACTTGAGAGATTTTTAACGGGACAAATATGTTTCACGAAGAGAGTCACCTTCATGTTTGGCGAGTTGAAGTACACCTCGCAAAACTTAAGTATCATAACGTAATTCCCATCCTGGCTGATTGGGATGTCATATCCAAAGGTGTTGTGATGATAACGCTCGGTTTGGTATAATATCTGGTCCACGTTGCCGATGCGCCCGATGATAAGCTGCTTACCATAATCGGAGGCCGTGCCGACTTTCCCCATGAGAGGATCCCTGGCAAAATGTATCCCATAACTATCCGTGTGCGCCTCGCCACCTGCGTTAATCGCGTATATCACCTCAAGGCAGTACGACCGAGAGGCAAGTACACCGAGCAGAAACAGCAAGAAGATCGGGAGGTCATCGTTCCCCGTTGGCAACCACATTCTTAGAGCTGTTATGCATTCGCGACTTTAAGATGAGATTTGACCCATTCACCGGAACAGCTGTGTACTCATAACTCGTCCTACGGATTCTGCTTGTTGTCCAGCGGGTTGCTGATGTTGTCGTCCGGCACACTTCGTGTCCGGGATCGCGTGGACTCGCATGGAAGAACGAATAAGACTGATCTTATATCGTACGTAACCGAACCCACATGGCACGTCACACTATCCCGCTAACGGAAAAAATATTGTAGTCCAGCTGTGCGGCCTGAAATATCGCAACGTTACCCGGTTAGATCGCTGACTTACCGACGTGACACGAGATAGTAGTTCGCGCAATATCGAGAACCTCCATCAGAGGACACTATCTTCTCATATTTCCTCGACTTTCCGCTTCAAAACAGACTGCATAGTCGGAGATAAACTGGATATGTATGTTTAAGCTGATTCTATAATGAATTGGTAATCGGAAATCTTAAGTTTTTACTAGTCTAACCTAAATAGATGACTATGATATTTTCGCATCTACTAGTTGTTAATTGTGCAGTGAGTCGTTTAATTCAACTAATGGGAAGGAATAAAGTCGAATTTGATCAGTCTTAAGAAAATCGATAGTTTTAGAGGCTCCGCACAATAAAGAGAACAGAGAACAAGAATTTCAATCTATCAGAAACTATGTATTCCACAATACATGATTTCTTAGTCGTAAAAGTTGGCTGTTGGCCAACTTCATCGATTCATCAATAAGACTTAGGACTACCGACTATCAACTCATTGTAGAATCAGTTTTATGGAATTATTCGAAATGGATTCTACAATTGGAATTATTCAATTATTCCCTACATTTCTATTGTATTTTCTATGGAATAATTTTAAAACATCAGAATCCGATTTTCTATTATATGTGTCCAGATTGTCTCAATTAACCTGCACAAAGTACAGACCAAGTTTTTTGCATTTTTAATGAAACTGATCTTTGAACTTACTCGATTAGAAATTTATGATTCCGTATCGAATTTGCTGAAGAAAATCAAGAACTATTAAAAGGAAAGAAGGAGAAAAAGATTTAGATTTAACAATTATAAGTCTTCTCGAATTTAATATATAGATATTTATATATATGTGAGATTTTCGGTGATTCGTTAAATTTTTTTGTCTTTTATATGTCGTAAACGTCGACTCAGGATCGATATAACTTTTATGTATCTATTCGTGACAGAACATGACAGGTATCGCTCTATTGTCTATAGTATCTTTAACACAAAAAATCAAATTTATATTAGAAACAAATTATAACAAAATCAATTCGGGAATAGATAATTCATAATTTCGACTTAAAATCGAGAATCGAAATGGAATACAAATTCGCTAAGTTTGTACAATAAACGATGATTTGACAGTTTTTTTTTGCACATTAATAATATCGGAAATAAAATTGATTAAAATTATATCGGCATCAATCTTCACATTAAATTTTTTCAATATAAAATAATATATTTATTGACTATCACAGGACAATAAATATAATAATAACATATAAATTTTTAATTTAATTTCTATACCTTTATTTTGATTATTTTATCATATTTACTTATCTCATTATCAATAATTGATATACGATAAACACACTGACAATATGATAAACGAACCGAAATAATGTTGCATTCATTTTACGTATAAATACTTTAGATAAGATTCTCTTAGGAAAGAGAAACGACTGATTTCCATCACTTTCTTTTTATACTCCTACATCAATTTGATCATCGAATTTATTGCTATTTACAAGCGACATTGGCAATTTGCCGTCAGAGATAAAATCGTGGTCTTATTATATCGTTAATCGTTACTGTACTTACTTGAGGCCTCTCCGTTTATTTTAAATAATAAGGAATTTCAATGAAAATTAAAAATACCGCTCGCGTAAGACATATTTATATACTTCTTGCTTTTTGCAAAAAAATTGTTTAGAAATAATTGATAGCTATAACAAAACGTGGTCTTAAATTACATTAAAAATTTCATTTTTTATAAACACATGATTCGCTTTTACGTTTATATACCATTATAAGTAAACAGGATGCGTTCTCCGACAACAGATTATTACTCATTATTTTCATAATTGTTTAAAAAATATATTTTCCAATATTTAAACAATTATGAAAAATGAGAAATTTTATCTCACTTCTCCTATATCTTCCTATATATAATAATTTCAAGTGCATCTTGCTTTGACAGAATCTTAATTTAGAGTTTGGTCATTCAAGTATTTAATATCTATTAAAAATAATGAGATAATTCAGGAAGAGGAAACACGAAACTGCGAATTTTTGTTAAGGAAAACAACTTCGTGTGGCATCGAAGAGCAAATTTTAAATGACTGTACAATTCACCTTTTATTTTTTAGTCTGAATGTTCAAGGAATTCTTTTGGCTTTCATTGAGACGAAGGTTGAATATTCCGGAACATCCTATATATATATATATATATAAGCGAGCGAGAGAGAGAAAAAGAGAGAACAAGGTCAAGACGATGTTTTCTTTGTGCCAAAATGAACGAAAGATTTTAATACAAAAAACATATTGCAGTACAAATATTTATAAAAATCTCGATTAAATAAATACATTAAAATAATTGAAGATGTTTCAATAAATTTTTTTCATATTAATATTTTCATATTAAATAAGTTATACAAATCTCTCTTAATAAAGAATATTGAAAAATTTCCAATGAAGACAAGACCATCAAAAATCGAAAAAATAATGCAATAATGCAGTTTTAGAAAATATCCGAAGATCGAAATGTATGAAACGTTGAACATAAAAAAAGATAAACACGGAAGATCTTTTCTATTATATTCCATATACAGATATATGAATAGATATATTTAGATATATTCACAGCGTCGCTTGATATATTATACTTTTAAAAATATAAATTTATGTGTAATTATTTTAAATTTAAATTCAACAAAATTTTAACATTTATTAAAATTTTTAAATAAATTTTTTTAAACGTATGGATATTTTATTTTTAAAATGCAAGACATTCCAAGAAAACTGGCCAACTAATTTTTACAAAATCCGTTAAAACCATTTTGGAAATTTTTCATAAATTTTTAATAGTTTAATATAATTCTTGAAATATATATATTTTAAGAACTGACTGTTCAATACGTGGAAAGTTCGTTCACTCATAAATCTCATTAAAAACTATTTTAAGAACTTTTACTTTGGTTTACATATGAAAATCTTCAAAAACAGAGGGATCGTTCAATCGATTCACAAATAATTAAAATATTATAATCAACGCGAGAAAGACTGGATTACTTCTTTCGTTCGCCTCGATTTTCGTTTACAAAGCCGAAAAACATGAGGGTTACTCTTCTGCTGTTTCAGACGTATTATACTTTAAGGGGAAAGAGGGTACGAAGGGCATTGTTGTATTTCAGCTTCCTTAGAGACTCCCAATGTTCCCAAGAATCCAAAGCCGATTCGACGACCGTTAGTTCGATGCATCTGGCTCGAGTTTAGCTTAGCAACACCTTGATGGCGGGAAAGCACAAATCGTTGCGCGTCAAATAGCGCAGACTTCTTGAAATATTCAAGTTTCTGCAGATTTCATACGTGGACTAACCGGCTCTCGGTATCGACTGTTTAAATAAATAACAATAACGATTCTTTTATCATTATAATATAGTCACTTTTCTATAGTCTAACGCAGTGATGCGCAACCTGCGGCCCACCTGTGAATTTTTTGCTACCCGCCGTTTCATAGCTGAAAATATAAAATCATATTTTTTCCCACACAGCACTGGAACTTGTCGCAACATTTGCAATGTTACTGCAATATTTCTGGAACGATGTATGGACTATTTTACGTAAACATTACGTGGTTTGCAAGATTTTCTCTACTTTTGAAAATAGCCTTTTGAAAACGATCTTTATATGGCCTATATTTCACAATTTGTGAAGAATTGGAAAGAAATGAGGAGTAAGTTGAACTTGTATAAAAACGTTGACCACGAATTGTGAAACCGTACCTAAAAAAAATTGTGTACCACTGATATAATGCATATAACATCGACACGAAAAGAATGTAGAATGTATAATAGATTGAGTCGGAAATTCAAGCAGGGGATTCTTAAGAAGAAAAATGTAGATATTTCTTAAAACTGTTTAACTATTGCGTCATTTTATTGTTTGATTTTTTCATCTTGTCCTAATCATCGGAACTTCCTCAACATCTTTTGTTATTAACGAAAGATTTATGCGACTTATTCAAAATATTATGTTTTGCGTTTCTCTTATTATTATTTGTATTTTTAATACAAACAGTTAGAGTAAAGTACGTAATATTTTGTCATCCTTTCTGCTTCGCACTCTTTTTTTATACATTTTTTTAGAGGATACGCTATCGATATAAAGTATATTATACAGATAATGTCAGATAAATGTCAATTTCGAAACAGCTTTCTAAGATATAAATATATATACATGTAAAAGTAAAGTTCGACAGCGCGAGTTAACAGTTAAAAAGTATAAGAATTACAAGCATTTACAGGTATTAAGGTATTCGTATAATTCAAGAAGTAATATCGTAATTGCTTCTCTAATATCGTAATAAATCAAGCGAAATGTAAATTTCATTTTCTCACTTGTCGTTGAAAAGAAAAAGAAAAAAGAAGCACGATGTTCTCACGTATTTTCTCGTTATGCCTCTCTTTTTCTATCATAAACTTTACCTATAGCTGTTTCTACAGCTTCGCAATAAACGTTCGGGCACCTTCGAGAACCACGTGGTCACGAAATTAAATCATTATCGATCGCGCGAATCGCTGCTTCCTTTTTCTTTTTATATGCAGATAAACTGTAAACCGACACGCGTGTTGCTGGCATTGGAAACAATTTTGCTGAATATCGGAATCGGCATTATGTCGGTTTTTCTTATGGAAATATCTATGATTCAACGCATAATTTTTCGATGTTTTCTCCTTGACTGATGCACTATTTTGAGTGAAACAATTCAAATGTTTAATTAACAATCAAATTCGGTTATAATCGAATATATATAACCAAATATAATAAAATTATTTTTGATTGTATTAACTAAACATCTAAATGGAATTATTTTTCTTAACATTTGATAGCAATTACATAGATTCTTGATTAATAGATGTTTTTTCCAATATACTAAAAATATATAGCAACGTGAACTATAGATTGTCTATACTGGCAATTAAATTATCTGACTTAGTGAGACGAAATTAACAATATTTTGTTAGAATTGGAAAATTTTGATAATTTTATATTCAATTTCAATATTTTATTTTAATGTGCAATATATTTAAAATATTTAATTAAATTAAAATATTCTTCAAGTTCATTTAATTTATTTTCAATCAACTCAAAATATTCTTCAGACAATATTTTATTTAAATGGAATATGACAAATCCCAGACATTGTACTACTCTATATCTTTGCAGCTCACAAATACAATTTATCAAACATAATTTACAGTTTTAGCAATGTCATATTTTATCCGTCATTTTAAAATTTCATGTCATAATTCTCGTAAATTAGCTGAAATTTAAAGCAATTAACTTACATATGTATATCATGCTAGTAAATTCTCCGAGTTAAAAAGCACTTTTTGTACAATAAACTAAAAGAAATTTGCAATATTAAATCAGTTAAAAAAATAAAACTTTGGATGTGTAAATATCAATTTATTCACACAAACACACATACACACACACACACACACACACATATACACATATACACAAAAGTAATCTAGCGTGAAAAAAACAAACTCGAGAACGTTCCATCGATCATACTCGACTTTCTCACAGTTTTAGTAAACTATGTGAGCTTTTTACGTAAGGACATGATAAAATTTTCTGCGTATAACAGCAACAAGATAATTACAGGCTAATAACCATCGTGAGTCATACATGAAATCGCTCGTAATCGTCACGATCGACAGGGGAGATCATGAGAGATTTCATGAGATTTCATCATCAACAATTAGAACAAGTAGTTTATAGAAATTGAATAAATTTGCCGATACTGAAGGACAATAATTGATCATTTATTTTAAATATTAAAATTATTATTCAATACTTTTAGTATTCCAAATAAATAATTAATTACTGTCTTCTAATAATAAATTGTCCAGTATTATATTTCTATTCCCGTTTCTACCGATGTAATTTAATTTCCATCTCATTTCAACTCTTCATCTTTTTCTAGTTCTAAGAATTAGAAAAAGATAAAGACTATAATTTAACAGAACCAAGTTTAAAGTCGATGTTATAGCTTAGCATTTTCCTGGAAAAATTAGTGCAAGACTGGTGCACACTGAATACAATTAAATGCAAATTAATTCATACTTTCAGTATTAATAAATAATTTAACCTATTTAATTATGTCGTCAAATGACCTTATAATCTCTTAAAAGGATCAAATTATTTATCAATGAAAATATATAAATCAATCTGCACTCAATTCCATCAGTATTGCACTAGTTTTCCCAGAGAAAAAAAAAACTATTACATTAGTCAGTGGAACCGAGTCTAATGGTAAATATGCTTGGCAAAGGATGACGTAATTCGACGCACCGCGGAGGGATCTCGTCCCCCGGGAAACCAAGAATGAGCGATTCACGGTTTCCCTCGCGTCGTTGGTCGATCCGTTGACGTCATCGGCACACGTGCGAATTCCGTGGAACCTTGAACGAGGCTTGGGCACGAGGTGGTTTCTATCGCGAGCGAATCTTTCCTCTACCGTAACCGCGCGAGCGCGCCAGTAGTTTCTAGAATTTGTTCGATGCGTCCCTCCTCGTTTCAGGACCCCCCTTCCCTCTCCTGACTTCCATCGACTTCCTACCGGAAACCGGAACTCCGTGGAGCAAGTGATCCCACTTCACCCGCCCTTTTTCACCGATCGATCGATTGACGCGCAACCGTGCGATATCGTAGAAGAAAATTGAAGAATCGTTTCGGTGAGCAACGTATGAAGAACTCGGGAAAATTCGCGTATACTCGCACGAATTCGCGACTCGCATGCTTCGCGCGATGGCGCGATCGATAAGCGATTAAGCGCGCGCGACAAGCGACGCTCTCTGCCGTTCAGTTGACTCCAGTGGTGCGGCCTGGTGTTGCTCGGGGTCGATGCCTCCCGACCAATCGCGCGCCTACGCAAACGTGCGTGAACGGAAGCCAGCGCGGTGATTCGCTGGCTGAATGAGTCTGCGCGGAAGGAACATTCCAGAAGCTTGCCGCATCGAAGTCTTTATATACAGAGGACAGGGGCGCGGGCTCGTCACTCGCGCTGTGAATCGTGAACGAGAAATTTCTTCGTTTGTCCTACGGACAGAAATTTTACGAGGCTTTCCAAATAATTCTAAGAGGTACGTTTCCTTTCTTTTCGATCCTCGTGGTTTACTTCTCACGGACGAGAAAACGAGAGGTGTAAGAAGGCGATAATTCGTTAATATCGTAATTATCATTACTTATATAGATCGTCCACGTTTTTACCTTGCAGAACCCGAAGAAAATGGCGAAGGCACCCGCGGTCGGTATTGATCTTGGCACAACTTACTCCTGCGTTGGCGTCTTCCAACACGGCAAGGTCGAGATCATCGCCAACGATCAGGGCAACCGCACGACGCCCAGCTATGTGGCCTTCACGGAAACCGAACGTCTTATCGGAGACGCCGCCAAGAACCAAGTCGCCATGAACCCCAACAACACCATTTTCGGTAAGTTCCCGCTACTTCTCTTCGTCCGTGCTATGAAAGTTTTCTCCTTTATCGGATATCCCTTCTTAATTAAAGCGCAGTGCTATTATTTGAAGCTTTTAATTTTTTAATTTTTTTTAATTTTATAAATTCAACTTGTAATAAAGACTTTTTAAAATGAGGTAACAATATGAAAGAAATTATATATGCGCGCGCGCGCGCGCGCGCGTGTGTGTGTGTGTGTGTGTGTGTGCGTGCGTGCGTGCGTGCTTGCGTGCGTGCGTGCGTGCGTGCGTGCGTGCGCATATATATACATATATAAAATAAATTTAATCGATTTAAGACTGTAAAAGGCGAGGTAATCGGCGGTTAATCTGTTTATAAATATAAATTAAAATTTATATGGGAGGAGAATCAGAATCGTGAACTTGAAGCTATTCCATTTGACTGCTTTTACTCGAAACCATCGCGTCATTTCTGTATAAAAATTCTAGTCAAATTCCGAAATTAAATCGTGACTCGATGAATTTCTCAAGAATCTACTTGAATCACGTCATTCGCGTCAATATCTTTGATATATCTTGCCTTTCCATATAGATATGTCGCGTGCGTCAAGCTTATCTCTTTCACGCCTGTAATCGAGTCGCATGACTAAAATCTCGAATGTTATATGGAATAAAATTTTCCATAGTAAAATCGTTTATTTATAATTCTTGGAATTTTTATGGCATTAAATGTGAAAAAAAGCATTGATAATTATAATTTAAAAAAAAAGCATTAATGTATTTGGTAAATTAGTAATGATTTATTACTGGTTGAAATAAGAAATAGAAATAATTATAATTATATATTTACTTATTTATTTATATTTATACTTATACAATACATTTATTTAAAATCTTTATTTCTTACTTATTTCTCTCAATAATTCTAATAGTTTATCAAATATGCAAGTAAATATTCGATACAAATATTTTTATTTCTTTATATTTTTAATTATTTATACTTGTATTCATTTATTATATCTAAATATTATAAGTATAAATATATATATCAAATATTAACATGAACATTGATTAATTAATTATTAATCATAATAAACAAAAATTTAAATATTTTTAAATATAAAAGTATTATAATGTTACATTTATTACATTTTTTGTCTGTCATATTAAATAGCTATTTGGAGGTAGTAATCAGTGTAACTTATTTTTTTCTTTTTGAAATTAATTAGATGCCAAAAGGTTGATCGGACGTCGCTTCGAAGATCCGACCATCCTCGCTGACATGAAACATTGGCCCTTCACCGTAATAAATGATAGTGGCAAGCCAAAGATCCAAGTACAGTACAAAGGAGAGACGAAGACTTTCTTCCCCGAAGAAGTGAGTTCGATGGTCTTAGTAAAAATGAAGGAGACTGCAGAGGCATACTTAGGCAAGACTGTCACCAATGCTGTGATCACCGTCCCCGCTTACTTCAACGACTCGCAGCGTCAGGCAACCAAGGACGCTGGTACCATCTCGGGCTTAAACGTATTGCGTATTATCAACGAGCCCACCGCCGCCGCGATTGCATACGGTCTCGACAAAAAGGCCACCGGCGAGCGAAACGTCCTTATCTTTGATCTCGGTGGTGGCACTTTCGATGTGTCCATCCTGACCATCGAAGATGGTATCTTCGAGGTCAAGTCCACGGCTGGAGATACTCATTTGGGTGGCGAGGACTTCGATAACCGCATGGTCAATCACTTCGTGCAAGAATTCAAACGTAAATACAAGAAGGATTTGACTTCGAACAAACGCGCACTTCGTCGTCTTCGCACGGCTTGCGAACGTGCCAAGCGTACCCTGTCATCCTCCACCCAGGCCAGCATCGAGATCGATTCGTTGTATGAGGGAATCGATTTCTACACTTCCATCACCCGAGCTCGTTTCGAGGAACTCTGCGCCGATCTCTTCCGCGGTACTCTTGAACCCGTTGAAAAGTCGCTGCGCGACGCCAAAATGGACAAAGCCCAAATCCACGATATCGTTTTAGTCGGAGGCTCTACGCGAATTCCCAAGATTCAGAAGCTCCTGCAAGACTTTTTCAATGGCAAAGAGCTTAACAAATCTATCAATCCTGACGAGGCTGTGGCATATGGCGCGGCAGTACAGGCGGCTATCTTGCACGGTGATAAATCCGAGGAGGTGCAAGACTTGCTTTTGCTCGATGTCACTCCGCTCTCTCTGGGTATTGAGACTGCCGGTGGTGTCATGACTGCGCTCATTAAGAGAAATACCACCATCCCGACGAAGCAGACTCAAACCTTTACAACTTACGCCGACAATCAACCTGGCGTGTTGATTCAGGTGTACGAGGGTGAGCGCGCCATGACCAAGGATAATAATTTACTGGGTAAATTCGAACTTAGCGGTATTCCACCAGCACCTCGTGGAGTTCCTCAGATTGAGGTGACGTTCGACATCGATGCGAACGGCATCCTCAATGTTTCCGCCGTGGACAAATCTACTGGCAAGGAGAACAAGATCACTATCACCAACGACAAGGGTCGACTCAGCAAAGAGGATATTGAAAGAATGGTGAATGAAGCAGAGAAATACCGCAGTGAGGACGAGAAGCAGAAGGAAACGATCTCTGCCAAGAATGGTCTCGAATCTTACTGCTTCAATATGAAGAGTACAGTCGAGGATGAGAAGCTGAAGGACAAGATCAGCGCGTCAGACAAGCAAACAATTCTGGACAAGTGTAATGACATCATCAAATGGCTCGATGCGAACCAGCTGGCTGACAAAGAAGAATACGAACACAAACAGAAGGAGCTCGAAGCCATCTGTAACCCCATCGTTACGAAACTGTATCAGGGTGCCGGTGGTATGCCCGGTGGCATGCCAGGTGGTTTCCCTGGAGCTGGTGGCGCCACTCCTGGTGGAGCACCCAGTAGCGGCGGTGCATCTGGACCCACTATTGAAGAAGTCGACTAAAAAGGATCGTCCCTGGCTTTGTCTCGCCACTGCCCATTGTTAGTTTATTCGGTTTTTTTTTCTTAATCGCATTTATTTTTTTATTAAGGAATGCGTGCAGAGGATGCCTATCCTCTGCACGCAAAAATAAATAAATTATAAAGAGTACGAGGTGCGGCTATTAAATAACGAGACTGACGCTGTAAAACATTTTATTTTGATTTCATATATATTTACTTATTATCACCTTCAATATACACCCCTCCTCTATCCCTATAACGCTCCATGCGAATCTTCCATTGTTTGAAACAGTGCTGAAAGTCTTCTTCTGTCAGCTCCTTTAGGACGCGTGCCGCTTTCTCTTTCATAGCTTCAACGGACTCAAATCTTGTTTTAATTTTGTCATTTTAATTTAATGTTATTATCCTTTCCAATGAGTTTGGATCATTTTCAATGGCATTCAAAGTGTCAGTACAAAGATTTTTGCGAGCTTCTTGTTGTTCAAACGTGAGAATTTTAGGTATCATTTTGGCACACACTTTTTTCATGTTAAAATTGTTATGTAAAATTGCCGTACACATTCTTTGTCAATTCCTACAGTTTCACCAATCGTACGAATACTTAACCGACGGTCGGATCGAATTACCAGATTACCGATTGTTTCAATATTGTCATTCGTTTTTGACGTGGAAGGGCGACCCGGGCGTGAATCATCTTCAACGTCTTCTCGGCCGTCTTGGAAACGCTTAAACCACTCAAAAACACGTGCGATAAACATTCATGGCCATACACTTCTTTCAATAAATTATAAGTTTCAGTAGCGGTTTTTCCAAGTTTCACGTGAAATTTCACAACAATTCGTTGCTCTATTGTTACACTTATCATTTTTCCGGCGAAACAAAAAAACAACTCTAATGCGAAAGAAGGCTACGGCTATACGGATTTGTTTACAGAAGCGAGAGGTACTGCATTCGAAAGAGAAGGCTTCACGCTAAACAGCTGTCGGTCGCTGGCGTTTGGTGCATGCGTACTTCTGTAGCAGCGTCAGTCTCGTTATTTAATAGCCACACCTCGTACATTTACTTCAAAATAGAAAATGGTGAAATAGAAGAACTTATTTAAAAAACGACCCTAGAGAAAAGTATGTAAGGAATGATTAGAGCAAAGTCTGCAGCGGTATAATAATTATATTCGTTTATTCGTTTTTTTTTCTTTTTCGTGTTCGTTTGTTTTTTTATCAAGAAATGCGTATTGCGTGCAGAGGATGGGCGGGCACCTTCTCTGCACGTAATATGCATCCATGATAAAAAAATAAACGAAAAAGAAAAAAAAACGAATAAACGAACATAATTATTATATCGCTGCAGACTTTGCTCTAATCATTCCTTACATACTTTTTTCTAGGATCATTTTTTAAATAAAGTTCTTCTATTTCACCATTTTCTACTTTGAAGTAAATGTACTCTTTATAATTTATTTATTTTTGCGTGCAGAGGATAGGCATCCTCTGCACGCATTAAGAAAAAAAAACGAGTAATGAACATAAGAATTATACAGTTACGGTCTTTAAAGTAAATGTATTCTTTATAATTTATTTATTTTATTATCGTACTGTACTTACAGTTTATTCTCGAGACGATCTGTTGTTAATTTTCTATGTTCCAAACTTCATAAATATAGAGCGATTACCAAAATTTAATATTGCATTCTTCTTTTATCCTGATAATAAATATATAAAATAGTAGATAATTTAATACAATTCAAATTACAATATATGTATGAATAATAACCGTATTTCAACAATTAGAAAATGCTGAGTCTTCCTGTTTATGGCTATGTTCCGATATATACTATTAGTATTGAAAATTTATAATTAACGTCATAGTGGAATCCACTATGGGGTTCATGTTATGTATAGTGTACTGTGTATACTTTCAATATTAACAGTGTATATCGGAACACAGCATGTATAACATTCGTAGCAATATCAAAAGATAAATAATTTAAACATTAGATGTTTGTATCTCGACTTCTCGCTTTAATTTGTGCCAGTAGAACGAACGCAGATTCTTTTTATTTAGAGGAAGAGAAAGGGGTTTCTAATGAAATAAACAAATATTTAAATGAAGTAAAATTTTATTTGTAAGCGCAATATCGAGAATCTTGGCAAACAATCTTTTCTTTTTCTATAGCAAATAATTACAATTTCAGTATAGACAAATAAGGATATTTAATACGTATGCCGTACGTATTTTTAGTATATCAAACAATGGTGGCAAGAGCTGTAAATGAAATCAAATTTTCTACTATTGATCCAATAAAATTTTACTAAAATTATTACGCACAGCGTGTGAATAGTGATAATATACGATAATTATAAAGAATAACCAGATGTCATACCAGTTGTGAACAGTACAGTTCCTTTTCCTTTCTTTTTAGTCCTCTTCTTTTTGCCAAACGCATTATTTTCGTCTTTTGTTTCTGAAAAGTTTAGATAAGTATCAAAAAATTTGTACTCGTATAATGCTAAATAATTTATTTGGTTCCAATATGCGACTTACCTTCAGAAACGTAAGTTTTCTTTCCATCTTCGTTAATCGAGGTACCTGGTGTACCAGCGAAAATTCCCGATTTAACAGGCGGCCAAGCATTAGTTGACTTATGCGTTTTTGACAATACTTCTTCGTCTCTGTTGAAGCATGCGTTTGTCGTATCAGAGTACGTCTTTGATCTTACAACCGGCCATGCATTGGCGGATTTATTAGACATTTTTGTTGGCATTGTTGATATCCGCTTTGTTATATCCGCGAATGTTCGAGTTTGTTCGCGCGAATGATCCGTTTCTTGTTTTGGAGCAATTTCTTCAAATGCACTCAAAGCTGGTGGACTACTAGCAATACTTGACATAACTGATTCAGAAGGTGACAGAACGTTCTCGCTACATCAGAATATGATAAATAAAATTATAATTTTTGTATATGACAGAATATAATATAAAACTTAAACAAAATAGCGATAAAATAATGATAATGATTATTTGTGCTTACTTGGACAATTGTAATTCTGATTGCAATTGAGGAAAATGTTGATAGGATTCAATATCTATGTCGGGCGTTGGATATATGCCAATTTGTCTATTTTCTTCTTCGATTATCTTTTTCTCTCTCTTTCTTTCTTCGCGTTCTCTTTGTTCTCTGTATTTCTGTCTCGAATTTAGTTGGTCTAATAAAAATCAATATAAATCAACAATTAAATAGTATTACAAATCTCTAATATAAATCATAAAACAAAAATATTATAAATGATCACCATGGAAAGCACAAAGGACTTTCTCTGATACCAATGGTGGTTTTAATTCGATTTCAGCCAATTCAAATGGACAAGTAAGTGGTAAGTGGCAAAGATAACGTAATCTTCGTCTTAATTCTTCCGTGTAGATGCTTGCTTCCTTTTCGAGAAGCTTGCCCGTAATTATAGGAGGACAGTATTCCAAACTGCCATACTCCATTTCCAGCATTTTCACATTCGCCGCGTGTAGATACAGATGTTGTCCATCCTCCGCTAAAAAAAAGTTCATTAATATAGTATTATAATCACTGAAATATAGAGTTTTCCAAGCAAGACAAATGATGCAGTATTACATAGTGAATCATCCTAACAACATTGACAAACAAAAATGAAATGAAATTTACTATATCAGTTGTGTTTCTGATTCGAAAATGCCTAGTATCATGTAGCATAAAAGATTAAAAATTAAATTTTTTATAGTTTGCAAAATTACTTACCTTGATAAAAATAAGAAAATTTGCTAGGACTTGAAGCAGTCTGGCTATCACTGGAAACACTGTCTGTCGAAGACTGTTTTGCTAAAGACTTGTCATCATCTTTGCATGTATCAACATCTATTTCATATTTTTGCAATGTTTCTTCAGCAATTTCTTTTTCCATTATATTTTCAGTCAATGGAGCATCTTTAGATTCTGCGATCTGATATATATATTTTTTATTTTTTTTATTCTGTTATATAGAATAATGGATATATAATTATACGATTAATATTACCTGCCACAATAGTTTTTCTTTTCTCTTTGATAATTCACTGAGCGCTTGGTTGATATCAGGAGCCATGGCTGGATTAATCTTCAATTCAAGTTCTAATTCTGAATTCTCACACTCTATGATGTTCACAATCTGAAAACAATTTTCATTCACGCTATTACTCTTGTATGTACATAATAAATGATTTTTAATATACTTTTTTTAACTTACATCATTCACATTTGCGATAAGAAGTTTCGAATATATTTGATTATCAGCGTTCTCCGAAACAGACAAAAACGTTGTCGGGGGTCGAACAGTAGATTTCACAGGCGTTGTAAACAAAGAATTCTTTTCACGACGCATCAAACATAGATTGATTGTTTCGCCCAAATTAAATAACCTGCGCGTAATCTCAACCACGCTAAAAGATATATATAAAATAAATATTTTCATAAACATTTCTTCATATAATATGTATTTATTATAATTTTATGCAAAATTACCTCTTCAAATCATTTTTGTGGAGATATTCATCACAAATCGGACATTTGTAATTGCCTGTTTCTTGACAATAACGTAAATAACGGAGAATACAAGGCCAACAATAAACATGACCACAGCGAGTCATTTTACCTGCGACTGGTGGATGTAAACAAATAGGACACGAGAGATTTTCTGAATTGTGTAATATCTGTAATACACATTTAATTTACTCGTATATATCTCGTATGAATCTCTTCCAAGAAATTTTATGCAACAATTGCTGATCCGTAATTAAAAAACACTTACAATTTGTTCAATCGATTTCCAATCCACGAGAATATCTGGGTTAGTCAAATGCAAGGAGTAATCTCTACTTGCAGTCACAACAAATTGGCAACTAGCAATATACATAAGAATATATAAGAGTATATCATTTTTAATATAGTTTTACAAAATTATTTTTATATATTTATAATTAATATCAAATATATAATTTTAAATATTACGTGAATATTTCGACATTCAATTTGCATGATTAAGAAATCAAGTATTCAGATTTCGAGATTCTGTCCGAAAAATGTTAAATAAAATATGACGTAATGTGTGAGTTTACATGAATAAGATGGGCGTCAGGAGAAATAGAAAATACCCATTTATATTGTATAATTACTACCTAGCTTGTACAAATTGTTCCTTGTTGTATTTATGCCGCTGCACTGGTGGCAGCAATCTATTACTGTTGGAATTATGTCTCCCTACATCCCTGTTTTGTGCATCTCGCATCACATATCGCTCGTAGTGAAAATTCAGCAAATGATTGCCGTTCTTTTTGCTTCTTTGAACCAATACTGAGCCATACTCAGGCATCTTCTCCTCCACTACCTACAGATATGAAAATTATATAAAATGTGGTAATAAACTAAAAAAAAAAAAGAGGAGCATAATTCAAATGTAGACTCGACCTTGGAATTCTCCTCTGCACTGCCATGATATTGTCCTTTAGGTCTCTGTCTCTTAATAAGATCTTTTGCTTTCTGTACATTGTACCTTGTCGACTGTACATCATCAGGGACGTTATTGGCGCCAGTAAGTTCTCTTCTGCGCAAAGTTCCCAGATGGAACTCATTATTGACATCTGAAAGGATACACATCACAATGAAATATAAATAAGATGCCAAGAGGTACTAATAACAGCTTGTGTATTCAAATCAAGACTCTCTGAGCAAGTGACCTTGAGAATATACCTTTGTTCTTTCTGGCATCAGCAGTAGTCCCCCTTGCAGGGGACAGTGTGAATTTTGACTTTATATCCATTTGTGAATTGACTGTAGTCAGTCTGGTAACTCGCCTCGTTGCAGCTGCAGTCTCCTCCATCTCCTCTCCTCGGAGAAATGATATTTTTGCGCGCACCCTTCATCTTCTTCAATAAGCCATGTTTCGTCAGTGCCAAAGTAGTAAAATGTGTCTCGATGTGACGACGGTCGGCAGTTGATGCGGTGCTGCACAGGGATGACGCGAACAGCGATGAGCGAAACGCTCGTTCTCCAGGGAGCAGTCGGCCTCCCCTTTCGTCGCGGGCGACGATCTCAGGCCCTTAACCTTTAATGACGGTCACGACTCCGTGGTCACGACCCAAATGGCGAACGTAACCGTTCGCGGAAACGGAAGTGCTGGTGTTGTGTACGGTGCCACGACCGCTCGATAACTCACGTGATTTGATCATATTCGTTACAACGTCGTTTTAAATCCGTCGAAAATTCGAGATTTTCGATTTTATAAGTATCCTGCCCTCTTCGATCGTTAACGGTTGTATCTATCGGGATGTTAGGATAATGTTGATTTTTGGAGGTGGTTTGACTTCAGTTGAACGCGTTCAAGGTAGAGTAGAGAGATTACGTTGCTGAAAAAAACTATCGAGCGAACGATAACAAAAAGAGTCAAATGTGTTTATTTTCTTGTCGAAAGCGTCAAGCAGTCTTGAAATATATATCGCTTCTGTATGAATATTTTCTATATTTTAATGAGTTATATAATTACAAAATCATTAAATATTATTTAATTAATATTAATTAATACTTTCAACTCTTGTATGTTCCGCAATTCAGAGTGACATTATTATTCGAGCGTGTCGATTGTCGATCACAATCATCGAATAAAAAACATTCTAAGGTGCATTCCACTTGATGCAAAGCTTATGAAATCATTTTATCTTTATTACTTACCAAATGTTAAACAAGGATAAATAATGCTTACAAGCATGTGAGTGTCAAATGGAACGCACTTAATTGCCTAGTTTACATCGTACACTTGATGCATGCACTAGTAACTTTCTATTAAATTATTTTAATTTCAGTAATGTATTTAAAGAATGATGTACTAAATTGGTATAATATGCATCAAAATGATTAATTAAGTACACATATCGTGGGCCGGTTTCACCAACGCCAATTAACTTAATCTAATCGACCATTGACTAACCAATCGCGTTTGCTGTTTAGTAGAATCGACCAATTGCGGTTGACAGTTAATCACGATTAAGATCAGTGTTGGTAAAACGGCTCTAGAAATCGCCGAAATTGTCGAAATTAGGATCATTCAATAAAAAGTTACTAACTAGTATCGATATAAATTACACGATATCAAGTACACGATTTAAATTAGGTCGTAAGATCTATTTTTTACTGCTGCACTTTCTGAACTGGTATACATAAGTTGAAACAAATATACGTTTGTTTCACTTTAACTTATTGCACGGTTTAGAGCGCAGCAATAAAAAACAGACCTATATATAGTCTTTATATGCATTCGTTTGTATTTAAAGTGAAATGAATATATGTTTGACATTTGGCGAAAGCGAGAAGGAATTAAGTTCTAGTTAATCCAGTACTGCAATAAAAAACAAACCTAATAACGTTTTCCACTGGGAAAACTAGTGCCTGCAGCACTAAATGCAATTGAATACAAATGGATTTACATATTTTCAGTGTTAATAAATAATTTAATTCTTTTATGATTACGAGGTTATTGTAACAATAATGAATTTGTAATTAAGATGATTAAATTATTTATTAACACCGAAACATGTGAATTGATTTGCATTCAATTGCACCAGTGTGCGCCAGTGTTGCACTAGTTTTCCAAGTAGAAAACGCTGGCAACTGAATTTTATAAATATCGAATAGCAACTTAAGTTTATAAATAAAGTTTGTTGCACCTAAAATTAAACGAGACAAATACATATTCAAGTGTTGAAGAAAGAGAAAGCGAAGGTTCTGAATGCAAAAAGTGCAACACGAACAGACTTAAAAAAATCATCGCCCCCAATTCAACATCGAACTTTCCAGTGATCGTCCAGTGGAAAAACCTGACGCACCAATCGCTACGAGTAGCCGCGCTCGCCGCGGCCAATCACAACGTAGCCGAACAAGACGCTCCCGGTATACACACACGTGGTCGGTTTACGTGCGCCGTATTGCTCCTCTACGAGCAATCGCAGTCGATCGCAGTGGAGGACGGTGATCATCGAGATTCGCGTCAGCATCTAGGAACGCGTTGCAGGATCAAAGACGTCCAGCAGGTCCAGCTGCTCCTGGCAACCGTACTCAACTACGCGGTGAAGATCCATTTTTAACGACATCAAGTCGACATTTCCTCGTTCTCGTGTACTCGACATGGCAGATATGCCAGCGAACGTAGGTATCACGCGGAAAATGTCTTTCGGCATCAACGGCAAGCTCAACGGCGTCGAGAGCAAGACACCCTTCTTGATAGGTGTCTCCGGCGGTACTGCAAGCGGAAAGGTACTTATATCTTGCGCAAAATTGTTATATCTGAATCACAAGAAAGGAATACATATTGTACATACACTTTAAAAAAAATTTTCCGGATGTAAAAAGGAGTCTAATTTTTTAAGCTTTAAAAGATATTGTATTTAATGAAATAAAATTTCTAAAACATTCTTATTTACAATTCCTATTAACATTTTAACTAATTTTATATAGTAGATATGACCAGAAGTTTTATGATTTCAAAAAGAGTGTATGTATTCTTAACTGATAATTCTAATTCTATGGAATTAATTTGTAATATTTATTAAAAATTGACTGATCTTAGAATTGACAGAAGCTTAATGAATTACACAATGAATGTGTTAAATTAATGAAAGAAGATTAATAAATTACACAAATTATTTTTCAGAAAGTCACAACTTTTTTACTTTCTATTTTTTTTTTAATAATTTTTCATATAATTTTATGTTTGATATTCCATATGAACAGATGTTTCAATTACTATTTTTAATTTTTATAAACTCATGTTTTTTTATAGCAACTGTTTGTAAAAGAAAATATTTCTATAATCTGCAATAGATTTTCTTTATGTAATATATGAATTGATCATAATTTTTGCTTTATTTAATATAAAGATTTATAAGAATAATGAAATCAATGATATGATCATATATATAGTGACAAATTATATTTTTTTTTAGTCTACAGTATGCAAGCGTATAATGGAAAAACTAGGGCAAGTCGATATGGATCATCAACAGCGTCGGGTAGTCTGTATATCACAAGACAGCTTCTATCGTGACTTAACACCTACTGAGAAAGTGAAAGCTGAGAAGGGACAGTATAATTTTGATCATCCCGATGCCTTTGACGATGATCTAATCTTGCAAACGCTGCAAGATATACTTGCTGGTGTCAAATGTGAGATACCTGCTTATGATTACAGGACAAACAGTTTGTATGTGTTACTTTAATATTAAAGTTAAAAATTATCTTTAGATTTATGATTGTTGATAATGCAATGCACACATACACACACACACATACACACACACACACACACACACACACAATTAATAGGAATAAAGTAACTATAAATAAAATAAAATAATTAAACCAGTGAATTAAAAGATGTTTACATATGAAAATCTTAGGCAAATTACAAAATTATAAAAAAAAAATTACAAATTTATTTTAGAATGAAAGATCAAGTTACCACAATATATCCTGCGGATGTGGTACTGTTTGAAGGAATACTGGTATTTTATTTTCCCAAAATTCGAGATTTGTTTCACATGAAATTGTTTGTGGATACTGATTCTGATACCAGACTTGCAAGGAGAGGTAATTCCCTACATATAATTTCAGTAACCTGAGTATCACTTGTCATACTTTTATCATATTATTATAATATTGTTGATATTTTCAGTGCCAAGAGATATAAAGGAACGTGGAAGAGATTTGGATTATGTCCTAAATCAATATATGAACTTTGTAAAACCAGCTTTTGAAGAGTTTTGTTTACCAACAAAAAAGTTTGCAGATGTTATAATACCAAGGGGAGCAGACAACACAGGTAAATATATTATCATATGCATAACAATATTTTTATTGCTATTGTAATTATTTGATATCTCTCGCTTAATGTTTATTAATAGGTTTATTGTTTGTGAATTTAGTGTGTTTGTCAGATATAAACATTTTTGATCTTTTTTTTCTCGGTTTTTATTGCATTTTATCATAATATTTCATTTAGAAAGATCTCATGTTTGATTGTGATATTAATCAAAATTTATTTTTTCAAGTTTTCCATCTGATAAATTAATTCAAAATAATACAAATAAGTAAAATATGCTTTGGTACTATAATTAATATTATTACTGGTTATAATAAGGTACAATAAGGATATATGCAAAGCATTCTAGAGCTGCAGTTCTCTTTCTTCTTAAGTGTAAACGCCAAAAAATGAAATAGTAAAAATGAAAAAAAATTATGATTATTTTACAAGAGTTATTAAAAAATTTATTAACTATTAATAAAGTAATTAATAGTTTGATTGTGGATTAAAAATAATTAAGAAAAAGATTTTATGATTAAAATTTTAATAGCCAAAATCTAATAGATAATAAAGATTCATTCCTCTATGAATTATGATTATTGACTCTAATTTTATAATTTGAAAGTTTATAAAAATATTTAATATTGCAAAGTGTGAAATATATCTTGAATATATAAATATATATTCTAATTTTTAGAATTAAGATAAATTATAGTGAACATTCCCGTAATGATTTTATCAATTAAAATTATTGAAATATAATTATTAATTATTAAAAAATCACCCTCTTTGCACAATCATTTGTAATAAACAAGGTGCTTTCCAATACATATTTTGACACTTAATACATATCTTGACACGAACGTAGCAAATTAATTCATATATTTTCAGTATTGATATATAATTTAACCCTTTTAATTACATATTCTTTATTGTCACGATAACTTCAAAATCTTAAAAAAAATTGAGTTATTTATTAACACAAAAAATATGTGAATTAATTTGCTACATTTGTATCAATGTGTTAAATGATTAGAAAACATCCAAGAATTATAGCGAACAGTAATTAAATATATATTCAGCAACAGTAATAATGTTTATTATATTTTAACTTAAAGAAAACTTGAAATTTTAAATTACATATATAATTTAATAAGATTAACAAGTCAAGACACATGATCATCTAATATGGAGATATCACACTTTTATTTGACACTTATCTATATGGGAGACTTATACATTAATTGTACAGTTTGGTATAATCGCTCAAATATCCAATATATGAAATTTCCAAATATCCATTATATGAAATTTGGATGCACATGTCAATTAATTATTTATACATTTAGTAATAATTAATTGTACACATCCAAATTTTATATATTGGGTCATCTAAAAAGTATCCGCGGTACTTTGTCACTAGATATATGACCATCAACACACATCTAGTGACAAAAAACCGCGGATATTTTTTAGATGACCCAAAAAAAAATATATATATATATACATATATATATACACATACATACATTTGTTTTAATAATACGGGATTTATACGGTAAATTTTTATTTTCTTTTTATTTGTATATTTAAATTGCATCCATTCAACTTGTTATATACCTCATGGGTGCTGCCTGGTATGCCGTGGTTGTGGAGTCATGTCAGAGCTACACCTACTTAAACTAAGCGAAAGTTTAAAAGAGACAGAGAATATCTCACGGGAAACCTATATGGTCTGGTTGTTGTATGTTTGCAGTGGCAATAGATCTAATAGTGCACCACATCTGGGATATTATGCGTTTGAAAAACGCCGAAAACTCAGCCGGGCAGCATCCATTCTTCCACCAGCGTAGGCGTACTTCGGCCTCATCCGACACGCTCAGCAGATGACTTAAGCATGATAAGCTCACTCTGTCAAGCACTGCATTTTTTTCTAAATCACGCTCTTATGTATGACTGAATTCTATGAGACATTTTCCAATCCCTTTTTCTAATAATAAACGGAAAAATAATGTCCGTTTTTGAATGCAGGATTATTTATCTTTATATCATCAATATATATCAATTGGCAGTAACTTAAAAGAGATTAAGATAAGACGTATACAACATAAATAGTATGTTGATTAAATAAAAGAAAAAAACAAATAGATATGATAAATACTTTTGCTATGATATTTGTCTAATTAGATTAGAACAACTTCTGCCGAGATCTATTAATAATCGTGTAAAATATTAAACTTTTATATGAGACTTGATATTTACTAATGTCTAGAATTTTTATTTTTACTGTGATACACAAACGTTAGATTGTGATCAATTAAATACAACGTGTCTTTAACAATTTTAATTTTATATAATGAAAACGGACATTGTTTATTCGTCAATTATGTATTATATTTCTTTGACGGATTATATCTTACACTTACATGGCGGAGAAATGATGCTTTTTATGTACATTTTATTCTGATAAATATATTAGCATAAGAATTGCGATTCTAAATCATTGAAAAATGCATGAAATTGTGTAAATCCACTAAAAAAATAGAGTTAAAAGGGGTTGGCAACAATACAGTCAACACAATTGAATTTTTAATTTTTCTCTGGATTTTATTTTAATATTTTTAAATTTTTTTTAATTTCTGTATTTTATATCAATATAACTAACATCGCCTTTTTATATTTCTCATGTCTACTTACTAAAGAAGTATATGTTTCTACATTTTTTTATATGAAAACTGTAATAATAAGTAATAACGTACTTAAACTATGTTAAATCATTAGGCTGAGAGGATAAGAACGATTATTTTTAATTTATATTTTTTTTGTTATTTAACGTTATTTATTTTTCAATTTTAAAATAAGAAGAAATAAAAATTTTAAAATTTTAGAAATTTTTCATGATTTCGAAACGTTAGGAATTCAATTTTATTAAATGAATCTGTATGAAATGTTGTTTTCATTCGGCTATCCTTTACCGTTTATGACTTAATGTCATATCACTTAATTATCTAGGTGACTTAATCTTCTGGACAATGTCTCAAGTATTACATAAATGATAAAAGAAACTTAAGAATATGAATGTGCGATATTGTATCTGTGATATGTGTGTAAATTCGTATGTTGTGTACAAATGTATTTTAAATACCGCATACATTTTAACAGGGAATGGAAGAGTTATTTTACCGTTATTTTTACAGTTACTTTTTATAATAACAATTTTTGATAAAGATGTTGAAATTTTTTATGACTGTAATGACTAACAGTGAGATTACGCTGAAGTTAGGAAAGCCACTTTGAAAAGTAAATTGTCATCATTACGTATTACTTATTGTTAAAAGTAATAAGTAATGACTCATTACTAATGAGTAACGCCATAAAGTTATTCTGTTACAAGTTACATTAAAAAGTAACGAGTTACAAATTATAAGTTATTAATTCTTTCAATAAATGACTTTCCCGATTTTCATTATATGTAATTATGACTGTTCCAACTCTGATGTTACATTAGGCCTGTTCTTTTTAACTGAACTTTTGCATCAGTTCATCTTTCTTCCTTTTCTCTCCAGGAGGAAAGAAGAGGAAGAAAGATGAACTAGTGCGAAAGTTCAGCCAAAAAGAAGGCCTATTATAATAAAAAATTTGCAATATTATCACGAAATCGTGATTACGAGGTAACTAAATAACTAAGTAACGGCAGTTACAGTAACTAGTTACTTCCATTTCCTGCATTTTAGACATTTCTATAAGATCATTCAATTTTTAATAACTTATATATTTTGCATTTACATTTTGCATAATACTTTAGAAATGTAATCACATGCAAGTATTTCCTAGCATAATTAGTTAAGATTCAATTTATCTAGTTTATAGACTTATCTTGAAATATTTATCTCTATTGCATTCTATAATATTAATTATTGTATGTCATTACATACAAGCATACATAATACGTCCAAATAGTTAGTTCCTTTCTGTACAACAAAAATCTCGGAAGTTTTGTTTAATATAATGTAACTCTCAATAGAATGATTCTATAAGATCATATATACATCATTGTACTTCTTTCTTATTTTCGACAGGAGTAGTATAGTCTTCAGTATAGAAATAATTAAATTTGAATTAAATTTCTGTTAAAATCTTTTGGTTCGCTAACTTCTTAATTCATTAAAGTCTGTTAATTTGTTAATATTAGGTGTAGTAAAAAGAAATCCATCTATTGGAAAAATAATGGATTTCTTTTTACTACATCTAATATATATAGCTTAAATTTAGTAAGTTTTATTGAGGAGCTTCGATTTTGAGATTACTAATTCGCATCAATGAATACCTGTAGTCAAGAAAGAGTGCGAAAGAGAAAGAAAGAGAGCACCAGTTCTAGGACACTTGCATATTGTTAATAAAAAAAAGAACAAAAAGATTTCTTGTATTTGCAAAACAATATAAACACAAGTGTGTTATGCATAATAAAACCATACGTAATCCTAATGCGATCACAGTTATTATTTGAAATAATAACGATTAATTCTTCAAGTATCCACAATTTGATATTGTTCCAAAATGTATAATGATATATTGCAAATAAAGCAATTCATCTTATCCCCGACGTAATTGCGTATATATTCGCGATTACTGATATTTCGTGATCTGTTGCAGTGGCGATAGATCTGATAGTGCAGCACATAAGAGACTTCTTAAGCAACCGAGGTAGACAAATGGCGGGACCTGAAAGTCCAATAAGCAGGGTAGAGGGATTATTCAAGAGGCCGCATTAATTTTTGAGACTTTAACATGCTTTAGTTAGTGATCCGCCAAGTCGTGTTTTATTTCAATACTCGGATATATTTTTTATATAATTTTAATTCTATAAAGCAAAAGAAAAATCATCTTTTTAGATCAATGTTTTAGAAGGCATCATTAATAATATTTTTAGCGTTAGCCTTTTGCAATAATATTTGAGTGAAAATTATAGAATATTATAAAACTAAAAACTCTCTTATACTTAGATATTTATATAGAATATACAGGAAGTGACCAAGATATGTAGCAAAACTACAAAAGCAAGGTACATGCTGTAGGATAAAGATGTTCCTAACAAGATCATCTTTTTTATGTAGCATTATCACTTTGCTATACCTTCAGGTTACATCCTGCATATGTGAGTTGTAAAAGGCACTAAAAAATCAAAGAGCATACATTATATTATGTGTGGCACAATTGAAACTATTAGTTTGTAGAATAAATTAGATATTGTTAAAATAAAAAATAGCGATATTTATGAGTAATTACGAGACTTGTATAATGCAAAAATAGAAATTTTCCTTGTTGACATTTTTGTGATGATTTAATATTTTATATTTAACCATTTATTCTTCTATACATATACAATATATATATTTAGACGTAGAAAAGAAAATAAAGTTTAATATACATTATATATTTAGCATAGAAAAGAAAATTTAATAATTATGATGTTATATTAAAAATGCTTACGTGTAATGTTTTTTTTATATAGGATTATTGATAATAGAGTTCTAAGTTCATGCCGTCATGTATCTCATCTGAGGCAGTGTATTAAGGAAAAGATTTCTTAAGAAATAAAAGATATTTGACACAGTACTTTGACTCGACTTTTTCATAGTAAAGGATACAGTCCTGCAACTTTATATGGTCCTTGAAAATGGTATACCATTTCTTTAATACGATTTTCTCCCAGTGTGTTCCAGTTTGGGCGGCTATCAATTTTTTCAGGTCTCCTATGGTGTCGTCTGGGTTGCATTTCACTCTAACCTTTTTACCGAGACGATCGTTGCACGTTATCTCTAACATTTTTTTTAGGATAATTTTCCTAATAATATTACAATATTATTTCAACATATAATTAACATTTATTCATTTTTAATTGATTAATTTCTGAATATCCAGAAATTGGGTACACTTATTAAAAATTTTTTAATGCAAGATTTAAAAAAAGCATACTTACTGATAAAGTTTTCGCGATCTTTCGCGAAAGAGCAAGTGAAAAGAATAATTTTAACCTTTCTTCTTGAAAATCAAAGTAATCTTAACTTTTTTCTTGAACATCAAAGCAAACGATTTGTTTTTTACGTTTCCGAGGTTAGGTGAAACACTGACAAATCGGACAATAATTGAAAAAAATGCTCGATCGATATACAATGTTGATGATTTTATCCACGGTCGGTAAAGATGGTTTAGAGTCATTTAAATATACAAGAATTCAAAGTACATCCGCCATGTTGAGTTTCATCAAAAAAGCTAGGTACATCGTGCACTGTACGAGGAGACATCTCTCCTCGACAATGACATGTTGCTATGTTATTGCGAGGAAGATAGAGCGTTCGCGCTTTTCGACAAGGCTACGACAAAGATTGCTACACGGCGAGACATCCGTATGAGAGTGCCCATTACCAAGCCCGATGGCGAAACCAGAGCGGCTTCGCTTTACAATTCTGGATGATTTGATACTTTTACGAGAGGTCTCGAGGCAGAACCCATATGAAGAGAGCGACAGGTGGAAAACCGTTGCCGAGCGAGTCGTGAACGCGACGCAAAAGAACTTTAGTTTACGTTGCGTCAAGGAGCACGTCGATCACCTGCTGAAAATCTGGACTAGAGAAGGCCGCGCACATTTGAAGAAGTGAGTAAGCACATGTCACTTTATTTTAATTAATTACATAAAATGCATTGATAATTAATGTATCCTCTTAAATTATTTTCCTTGCAGAAGACACAAATGTCTTCTATCTTTGTGTCTATATTCATGTCATTCTATCTTTGTTATGTATGAATACATAGAATGAAATGAAGGATAGAATGTGTCAAGTGTATCTTCTGAAAAAGGAAAGAAACCTTAGATGCATTAATATTAAAATAATATTGGAAGCTTCTCATTTAGCGATACATGTGGTCTGTTTTCTGTTCCTGCACTAGACTGCATTAGAATTTTCTCGCTTTCAAATATCATAAACATATACCTATTTCATTTTAAGTTCCAAAAGCGTACACTAATTCAATCAGAAAACAGCAAAAAAACTCATTACATAAAAATACTTTATTTTCTATTGAAACATGAACATAACTTCATAGTTATAAAGAGATTGAGAGATTTATTGAATGTTTTTATTGTACCTTCCTTAATCTTTAGGTCAGGGACCGAGGAACAGTACAATGAAAAAGAAGGATTGCTACAGCAAATACAAGACTTGCAAAAAGAATTCAGGCGTTCTGGCAAAGGCTCTAATACACAAAAATCAAGACTACAGAGGGATGTGACTTTAGAGAACATTTCTGATACCCTAGAAGTGATAATAGAAGAACCAACTGTACCAACGGTAGCATCTATACCTTCATTCACGTCTTCAACATTCTTGCCAATTGCTTTACCATCGCCAACTTCATCATCTTCATCCTCGTCGTCGACTCCACTAACTTCAGGGAGCCCATTGCAATCGCCAACCATGTCACCATCGAGAACAGGTCCAATAAGAAACAAAATACGCCACGATGCGTTGAAGAAATCGACATTGCATTTTTTGCAAGAAAGACATAAGAAGGAAGTAGAATTTCAAGAAAAACAATTCCACTTAGAGGAGAGGAGAATTCAACTCGAGGAAGATAAATTTAAGATGGAAAAAAAAGAACGCGAAGCAAGACTTGAATTGGAAATCGAAGAAAGGAGACAAAGGATCGCTGTATCCAAACAGAAACAAGAGATTCTTGAAATATTGTTACAATTAATACATAAACCTTGATTATTTTTGTAGCTTTTCTTTGTTTTATTGATTTATAAATAAAATTATTGTTAAAAAGATATATATTTTTGCACAAAGATTCTTATTTATACATACATAAAAGAAAAGATTGAAAAGTGTGAAGAGATTTTGATTACGCAAAACATTTAATTCAAATAGTATTATTAGAGCTGGAACTTTTTAAAAAAATAATTTATTACCGTTATTCATTAAAAAGTTATTCATTACCTATTGGAAAAAGAATTTTGTTATCATTTCTCAAAAAATACCGAGTTGCTAACATTTCTAATGTTTTTTTAGAATAACATCCAATTAAATATATTATTAATTCACAACATGATTAATTGTAATACTTCTTTTTTTTTAATTCACTTATACATACACATTTCATACATATTTATTATACATGTACAAAATAATGATAATAATTATTATACTGATTATCATTATTTAAAAACTAATTGGATATATCATTATCGTTACAAATGAAAAATATAGCGTCGTTACCAATTTATTAACCAATTAATTAGTTACAAATATAGCTACAATGGTAACAATGTTACATCACGTGTTATTGTTCAATTCTGAACATTATATTATTATAAGTATAATTAAATATCTTTTTTATTATGAAAATGTAAATAATTAATACACAATATATCGATATTAACGTTTTCTTTAGACAACAAATTCAATCGTATTATTTAAAATTCTAAGATATATATGTTCTATATTTATCATAAATAACATACTTAATCACTAGACTGTAATTTTTCAAGCTTGTGTTCAGAAATCCTCGATAGTATAGTGGTTAGTATCCCCGCCTGTCACGCGGGAGACCGGGGTTCGATTCCCCGTCGGGGAGATTTTCTTTTAATTTTTTTTCCATTATTCATTACAATATATATTTACTACTTTGTTTACTACCAATTGTATTATTAGTAAATATTGTAATTTTAATAATTAAAATAATAAAAATATATCATCTCAATATAGAGGGCAGCTTATATGCTATTTAGGACTCACTAGTTATATACTGTGGCGCCTCTGTAATAATCTATGGTTCTAATTATGCTGTGTTCCGATATACACTGCCGGTTTTGAAAATCTATAGGTTATGCTACAAGTACTGTGTAGATTTTCGGTACTAGCAATGTTCGGTACTGGCAATATCGAATGATATCGGAACACGGCTTCAATCAACTTCAATCAGAAGATCAGAAGATTTGTTTTTTATTCCTGCACTCTCTAGATTGATAAACACGATGCAATAATTTGAAGTGAAATAAATAACGTTTCAACTTATTGCATTAGTTCAGAGAGTGCAGAAAGAATAACCCTAGAATTCATATCAGCTCATGGAAGCTTTCTAGCGAGGTATAAATCGACACAAGAGTCATTCCGTTTTTGTTTCTTACTGATTGTTTCTTATTGAACAAGGATAGAATGACTCTTGTGCCAATAAGAAACTATAAAGGGCTCCACACAATAAAAGGAACAGAGGACAGAGAATAAAAATTTCAACCTATCAGAAACTGTGTATTCCACAATACATGATTTCTGATAGGTTGAAATTCTTATTCTCTGTTCTCTGTTTCCTATTCCTTTTATTGTGTGGAGCCTCTTAGTAACATGTAATTGTCACTAAAATACAAGCTTACACAGCTCTCGACTGAGTACAGAGGGTCGATTCTACAATATATCTTCAAACAAAGTAAAAATTACAAAAATGAATAAATTTACTAGATGTTAACCAATGAAATTATTAGTATTCTAGTAAATTCGCTCACTTTTGTAATTTTCACTTCATTTCAAGATACAGAATCGATCCCCAGATGTGTAGCATGTGTCGACGATAAAAGAAGAACAAACAATTGAAACGCATCTTGTATCGCCGTGTGCACGAAAGTGTCTAGGGATATTGTAATTGGAAAGCATCCACTGTGACGTGTTTCCTAGTTGCCTAGTTAGTTACTGTACTATTAGTTACTGTACCGCGTAAGCGCTCTATGTAATCGTACCTAAAGGACAGAAATATCTTTTTATCCTCTTCTATCCTTTTTTGACAGAAAGAAGAAAAGTTACTAAGCAGGACAGAAATGTATACAGAAATATTGTATTGTATTGTATTGTACAATACAATATATTGGGTCATCTAAAAAGTATCCGCGGTACTTTGTCACTAGATATATGACCATCAACACCATCTAGTGACAAAAAACCGCGGATACTTTTTAGATGACCCAATATATTGTATTGTACAATACAATACAATACAATATTTCTGTATACATTTCTGTCCTGCTTAGTAACTTTTCTTCTTTCTGTCAAAAAAGGATAGAAGAGGATAAAAAGATATTTCTGTCCTTTAGGTACGATTACATAGAGCGCTTACGCGGTAC